AGTTTTGTATGGGTCAAACCCATGCCCTCGTACCTTAGGGGAAGTTTCAACTGAAATTATATTCTTTTAGGAGTTTTATATAGTTAAAAATCATTCTTTAGTAAATGAAGAAAAATAGCCTTATTTAAATGAGCCATTTTTATTGTTTTTTTGAGCCAATTCTTTTATTGAAATAGATAGTTTTATACTTTTATATATACAACTTTCAAAATAATGAACTTTGTACAAAAAGTATTTACTAATATAGTTATTATTATTATTAATACTATTATTATTATATTTATTATTTTTATACTTAAGGCAGTAATGCTTCTTAGCCATGGTGATAATAACTTGATGATAAAGAGAAGGAAAAGTCTGATATAAAACCCCCAAGCATATTGAAGGTAAGGGTTAAAAAAGCTCGTAAATTTTTGGTGATAACTCTACTAAAGGTTTTAAATACTCAACTCTGAACAAAACAGGTTTATTCCAAGACACCTGATTGTAAAAAATTGTTTAAGCTCCTTGATTATGTCATATTTAAATAAGAAAACATCATTATCGAAACTTGTAAATTCCACATGTGTGTGAAAAGATGGATATTAAACTTTGAAAAAAAGTTATAGACCATAAGCAAAAGTATGAATTTAAAAAAGATTTCTAGGATATTTAGGTAACTTACTCAGCACAACAGCTAGTGGCCCATAATACAATCAGTTAGAAAACTGTACTGTACTAAGGGTCAACAAAATAAAAATTTGTCTAATAGTTATATGAGTTAATTACAATATAAAATAATATATGATACAAATATAAATTGTAAATAACTCATATAACAATTTTATATAATTTGTTTTACGAATTATATAAGCACAATGGTGCAACCATCTGTAACCAACCGATTGCTAATACAATAGTTGTTGGTACAAGTTTTAATTCAAATGTTTAAACAAGTAAATGATTTAAATGAACCAGTAACCATAAATTTAAATTATGAAGCAGCAGCTTAAGAAGCACCTTTTGGATTTAAAATAATAAATTTTGTTCACTTTGATGAACAAGCACAAGCAAATTACACTTTAAACAAAAAGTAAACCTTTTAATGAACAAACACAAATAGTCAATATAAAAATTGACTTTGAGTAGTTGAGCTTTTTGTCAAAAGACTAGGAACTATAACTTTTTTAACCTAAAAAAATATTTAAATATAATATTTGTTGTATTCTACCTTAATGTTCTGCCAACAGACATCAACAGTGGTAGAGAAGGTATATCCTAAATTAAATGATTACATCTTAATTAACATTAGTAACAAGCATACTATTTATCATATTTATTTAAGAACATTAATTATTTTAAACCTTATTTTTGTCCCATGCCCAGTACCAGGATGCAAAGGCACCTGCTAATGAACATTGTCCAAATGCAATAATAAAATTCATAAGCCAAAACCACCCCAACAAATGAAACACTTGTAAACGAAGTATATTACTAAAATAAAACAAGGTACATTATTCAACAATGTATATTAAAATGTCTAAATTTCACTGTTCTCCAAATTGACCGCCAGGTTGAAACTCTCCCCACTACTAATTTTTTTGCATTTAATTAATCATTTGCATTAGTATGCACAATTTAAGTTGTCAGAAAAATCTGAACAAAGTGCTAAGTATGTATATTTTCAAAATTAAAGCTTATAATTTTTTTTTTTTTTTTTTTTGTAAGTTTAATTAAAGTAAGCCATTATGGTAGACAAAATAGGCTATTTATGGCTATGATATATAAAATATATTATTGATTTACGGCTTCTTTCCAGATATAACTATCACTTTTCAACATAGCGTCAGATTTCAAATTATAAACTTGTGCAGTTTGCTTGATAAATAAAGGTATCAGATCAAAATCTATAACACCTATAACTCTTTCAGTGCATGAAAAAATTCAAGAATACATCTGGTCAAACTTCGATTCTGATTTTTAAGTTTGTCCTTCAGTAGTTTGTTCCAACTGCAGAAGAAACTTATTTAGTCTAGACAAAGGGGAGACTGCATATCTTTCCAACTGGTTAGAGACTGCATATATTTCCAACTGGTTACTGTCAAAGTTACTTTAATATAAATGAATTGCTACTTTATGTGTGTGTGTGTTTTTGGGCTCTGGTATTTGGAATCTTGCTATGTTAATACTATGATTTTATAATTTAAATAAAATTAATTGAAGTTTGATTCTCTTTATGTTACATTAAAGTTTGATTCAATGTATTATTGTTTTTTATTTAATTTCAAGTTATTGTTAAAATAGTTTTAAATTTCTCACTATTAATTTTAGGTAGAGGAATTTCTCATAATTGTTGCAAAAATAAAGCTGTTAAGAATATTATCGATATTAAGAAATCGCTTGGATATAAAAGTGCAGAGCAAGTATCTTCTAGATTCTTAAAACGTAAAATGGAACGTGAAAACATTCTAAGTGGAGAGCAACTCATGTTGTCTACTGATGGAAATCTTCTCTCTGTTACAGTTGGAGTAAATGAAAATAAATCAAAACGAAAGAAAGTAAATCAAGTTTCATTCAAAACTATTATGGAGCTATCGAATATATTAAAACTCTCTAAGAACAAAACTAAAAAACTGTGTTCTACTTTACGCATTAATCTAACTGGTGTAAAATTAAACATTAATATTAAAATGACTGAACTACAGGATACTCTAGATACTTTATATGAATGTAAAACTGAAGAATTCCTTGACGACAATGAAATAGTTGTTAGAGATATAATTTATGTCAAGAATACATCTGAATTTATCAAATTTATAATTGATGAAAGAGGTATTGATACCCCTGATGCAATAGTAAGAATATCTATAGATGGTGATCAAAACTTTCTTAAAGCTATCATTAATGCTTTTGATCCAAAAAATCATCATTCTTCATCCAAAATGTATGAAGATTCTAGTGTGAAACGTTGTTTTATCCTTGCCTTTGTGGAGATGGTTTCAGAGGATAATGGCAATCTCCAAAAATTATTGGAACCTTTGAAACTCGAAGAAATAAACTTTAGTTTAGCATTTGATTTAAAATGTGCAAACAGTATTTTTGGACTTTCAAGTCATTCTGGCAAATATTCTTGTCTTTATTGTGAAAGAGAATGCTCCCTCGAAGCAGGAAAACTAAGAACATTGGGTTACATAGACTTATGTTATGATCAATATATATGCGAAGGAAATAAAAAGATTAAAAATGCAGGAATACCAAAACGTTATAAACCCTCGTTAAATATACTTAAAAAAAGATCAAGAAACATTTCTTAAACACATTGTTCCTCCTCCTGAGCTCCACATTATGATGGGAGTTGTGGATAAACTTTGTACTTTGCTTTTATGTGGCCACCTTTTCAAAATTGGTTGAAAACACATTACATATTAATAAGGATACCATGGGGTAGGCTTAGATGGAAACAATGCTAATAAATTTATGTCCTTATTAGATGTTTTGGAGAGGGATATTACCTTAACTGCAGCAATTGATATTTTACCGATAATTAATTGTTTGCGTAAGTTTTTATTAGTAAAATCAGCAGTGTTAGTAAAATCAGCATTTCTGTTAAAATTGAAGACTTCAAATGTTCTTTTTTAGTCTCCAATTATACGTAAAGGATATTTTTGACTACGATTTGAAAGTTTCATGGAAAATATATGTTTTAGTGTGTCCTAATCTTCCCTTTACGCAGAACAATGTGGTAAAGTTGTTTACCACAAATTTAAAAAAACTTGGGTGAACTATAAAAGAACTATAGGACACAAAAATTATGGAGAAAAGCTCAAACCTGCTGTAGTGAATTTTAATTTAAACCCATCAGTAGCACTAATATATTTTGTGTTATATATTTATTTGTTATATGTATTTTTTGTAAATAAAATTAATAAATGTTGATGGTTTATTTTGACTATCATAATGGCTGACTTTAATCAAGCTAAGGAAAAAAAAACGAAAAATTATAAGTTTTAATTTTGATTTGATTTTAATTTTAAAAAATATTTATTTAGCATTTAGCTCAGATTTTTCTGACAACTTAAATTGTGTTTACTAATGCATATGATTAAATAAATGCAAAAAATATCAGGAGTGGGGAGAGTTTCAACCTGGCAGGCAATTTGGAGAACAGTGATTTAAAAAGGTTATTTTTGTTACTATAACAACATTAGCAACATTTAGTAAAAACTTTCCTTTCTTACTTTTATTTGAAGACAAAGAAGAAAACTGTGAATGTAGAAAAATAGAATGAATATTAAAAAAGGAAACTAAAAGTAAGATAAAAAAACATTAAAAAAATAAGACAAGCAAGAAATAGAAAAGTAACAGAAAATAGAAAGATGTTAAATACATTGAACAAAAACAATTAAACCAATTTGATAATAATCAATTTGATATTTTAAACCTAAATTAAACAAAAACAAAAAAAAACAAAAAAAAAAATCTTTCTCCTTATTTAGCTTTTAAATTATAATATAATGGATTCAAGAGAATGTTTTAAGTGAGGGCTAATTGTTTAACAATTAATTGATATTTAAGGAGAGGGTAACTTAAAATTCACATTTAAATAGAGGATAAACTTTAGCAAACAATAAATTAAATAAAATTAAACAAATTAAATATAAATATTGGCATGTACAGATTTTTTTCAACCTTTAAATTAAAGAATTACTTAGGCATTATGGTCTTCCTGGGTATCTATAACTTTATATGAAACACTGTTTAAAAATGCAACACTTTTGAAAAAGTAGTTTCTACTTATGACAGTAGATAATGTCTATGTGTCCAATATTAGAAGAAAAATACATTAATCCAGCTGGAATTCAATAAATATGTGTGAATGCTTGTAAAAATAATAATAAAAAAAAAATTAAAATAGAAATCTAATTTTAAAAAGTACTCATCAACATACTCATTTGTGTTGTATATTACAAAACTACAAGATGTCGTGTTATTTATATCAATAAATTGTTTTGCAGCACCCTAAAAAAAAAGGAAAAAAAATTCTATAAAAAACATTTAAGATAATTTGAGGTGAAACCTTTTTAGAGGTTGCAAATGATCCTTAAGCATCAGGAAGGTCTATAATATTATAAAAACATATACAGATTATTATTTCAGATTTTATTATTTAAAAACTATTGTTTTTCAAAACTAATAAAAAAGGTTTTTACAAAAACATATATATATATATATATATCTACTATAGCATATATATATATATACATATATATATATATATATATATATATATATATATATATATATATATATATATATATATATATAGACATATATCTTATACTGCTGAGTTAAGTGAGCATGATGACGTCATACTGAAATAGCCTGCTGCCGGGGGCTTTAGTATATACATCGACTGACAAATTGCCTGACTCGCAGTAGAGTGCTGCTACATAGCCTTAGGGTTTGGGAGGGGTCAGCAACCTTTTCATTCATTATTCTTCGTTTTCTTCTTCTTTTTCTAAAAAACCTATATTTTATAATCTATATTTAGATGAGCAAAAAAAGTGAGCAATTGCGCATATAGTATATATATATATATATATATATATATATATATATATATATATATATATATATATATATATATATATATATATATATATATATATATATATATATATATATATATATGTATATATATATATATGCTATAGTAGATATATATATATATATATACATACATAAGGGGTATAAAATAAAGATTAAAATTAAGATTTTCGAATGAGCATGTCACCTAATTATAAGCTTTTATATTTTGAAAAAAATGACAATAATTTTACTGTAAATCCTTTTAAAAAACTCATGCACCAAATGAATTATAGTTCCTAAGTGATTGTCTATAAATTACACAAAGCTAAATTTATTTTAAAAACAGAAGAACACAACCATTTAATATGTCAAAAAAAAAAAATTATACAGCAACCAAAATATTAAGAGACGTATGGAATATTAAGAGACGTATGGAATATTAAGAGATGTATGGAGTATTAAGAGACGTATGGAATAAGAATTTGATTCTGAGAAAGTAAAATATTACATAAGAGTAAATCTCAAGAATCATTAGGAACAACATGTAAAATGCTAACAAATTGGTAAATAATAAACCAACACACCAGCTTGTCATTAGACTAAAAAAATGTGAAAAGACAAATAAAAAAATTTTAAGATTAATTTTTAGAATTATGGGCTAATTTGAATTATTCAACAATTGACTAAAGATCAGTGCCAAGAATAATTTAAAAAATTTATTAAAAAGAGACAAATAGAAACCAAAAAACCAGGTACTTATAGTTTTGATGGTTAATTAGATATAACAAAAGCGGATGGACTTTGGTTGCATTCTGAAGATAAAAATCTAAATTTAAAGTAATTAAAGACATCTGGTAGAGTTGGATATACTACAATGAAGTTTGATGATCCTAAAAAATTATATCTTCAACGAAAACTAAAATTGGAAACGTTCCATCAATGCTATCAACTTTAATTCTGAATGAATACAGAGAGGAACACAAAAGTAGTAGGGTAAAGTAGGGTAATTTCGGCGTGTTAAGCTATTTTGCTGTTTATAGACAACGGTTGCTTTAATAATGTTAAAAAATCATGCATATCGATGCACTGCAGATATATCTATTAAATAATAGTTAAAAAATTGTTTCCAACTTACAAAGTTTTACGTAAAAGCTGTTTTACAAAATACTCAAAAATGACGAAATTAGCGACCTAGTATGGTATTTTCGGCACTATGGTACGGTAAATTCGGCATAGTTATGAAAATTAAGAAGTTTGTTCAAAACGCATTAATATATTTAAAATATTATAAACAGCTATAAATCTGGATTGTATAAAGAATTGTCTCTTAAATAGAATTTGTTACACCTAATTGGCACTTAATTAAGGGCGTTTCAGTTGCAAAAAATAATAATTTTTGAACCACCTATTTATTTTATTAAAGTATGAATGTCATGTATTTTTAAAGTATGAATGTCACCCAAAACAGAAACCTTATTAAATATAAATGTGCTTCCAAAGTATAATTGTTAATGAAACGATTACTAATTTCTACGATTTTGATGATTATTTCTAAATTCTGTTTAAATAAGAATTTATGTTTATAAGCTCATAAGTAGTTCATAAAATAATATTTTACATAACTTCAATAGTTAAACTTAAAAAAATAAAAAACAAAACTCAAAGGAAACTTTTTTAACAAGAGATTTATTTAAGAAAGTTAAAACACATTTTATCAATATATGACATATAACTTTTTTTTTAAGAATCAGTGCTTTATACAGTCATCACAAGTAAATACTTTTTTAGTATAAACACCACATATAGCAGCACATGTTTCATGCCACCATCTACAGCATTTAAGGCATTTATCCCAATTATCTTTTAAATAAGGATCGACAGGATCACCATAACTGTATTGACACTTTGCACAAAGTTGTTTATTAATCGCACCTTTAGCATCAAGGATTTTCAAACACGTCTTTTGATGAGTAGATATACTTTTTTTAATGCACTTTTTATGTGGCTGTCTGTTCTTATATTTCAATTTTAAAGATTCCTCTAGCTGAGATTTATAGCTGAGATTTATACCCTGAACCTTGACTGACAATTTTGAACAGTTGCAGCTTTCCCATAGATAATTCACCAACCTCTAGTTCAGTTACGGGACGACCAGGATGGTGACGAAGCCAAGTACTAACTTCCTGATCATAGAATATTTTGAGGCTTTTAAAAAACGAAACATCAAGTGGTTGCAGTTTGTGAGTGCAGTTGGATGGAAGTGATAAAATAATAACATTTGAGTGAGCCATTTTTGCTGCCACCAGAAATAGAACCTATTGGGGCTTTATCTAAAAATTCAGGTTTCACTCAAATACGTGGATAGATCAACATCGGAGGGACAAATAACCCGCTTTTGCTGATTGGCAACAAACTATTGTGATTGTTTTACCTCTTTCGGAGCTTGTTAAGCCACCAACACGTGTTTTCCCTTAAGAGCAACAGTTTTTCCTGCTTTATGGCAAATAGACAATCCAGATTCATCTATGTTGAATAAGTTTGATGGTGGAATAATCTGCATCATATTAGCATTAAACATTATTTTTTCTAGTTCATCGTAAAAACGATTAACTTTGTTTCTATTAAAACCAATGGCTCGATGCAATGACGTTGACTCAGCAACTCTGACAGAGAGTTCATTATGGCGTTTCAAAAAACCCCTAAACCATTCTTTTCCTGCTGACTTAGTTGCACAATTAAATTTGTGAATAATTCTATTTTCTTCAAAAAATTGAAATACCATTTGTTTTACATCTTTTGGTAACAAATCAAACAATCTCTGTGACATGGTCAGAAGAACTTCTACGAGCTCTTTTTCTTGAAAAGCTGAGAGTGTTGTTGGGTGTCCTGCACGTAACTTTTTAACAAAATTATCAACAGGTGCTCGTTTTATATAGTCATGTAGTGTTTGTCTTGGTATTTTATACTGTTTAGCAGCAGAATATTTCGAGCAACCATCAACTAAAACTGCATTTACTGCCAGTTTTAATGATTCTTGTGACCAATTACCATATTTTACACGTTTTGAACTCATTATATGATGCTGTAAAATAATGTTTACATTATTTTACAGTATGTATATAATTAATAAATGATTTGTTATATACAATAATAATTATTGTATATAACAAATTATAAATTTATTATATACATATTGTTATGTATGACATAAATTTAAAATATATTGTGGGGAACTATTATTTTGATAAGTTTCACAGTGACACTAACTAAATTCACTTTTTTACTAACTCGTTATTAGTTTATTATCTGAGTTACTAAAATCAATTTCTTCTATACATAATATTTAAAACGTTTATTTCCATTTTAGTTTTGGAGAAACAACAGGTCGGCAAATTCGGCACTGCCGAAATTAAGAACTATTTATAAACCGAAATTATCTCCTTAAAGCAGTCCTAGGGGAAACTCTTATATCTTGTAAAATACTTTGAGTTTAATTTTATTGTTGCTCACATTTTGTTCAGTGTATATTTTTGAATGAAATAAATACAAATTTTTGGTAGAAATTTTCGGAAAAAATCATTTATCCTCTATTTTCTAAAAGGAAAAAATGTTAAGAAAAAGCTAATAATCATAAAATAACGTACCTATAATGTAAAAATAGAAGTTTAAACCAATATTTTTAGAAAAACTGTTTATCTTTCTATAATACTCAAGTATAGTTTTGATATTTCATTAAATAAATATTTTTAGGTGTCTTTTGAAGTGGTGCCGAAATTGTCTCCTTGCCGAAATTACCCTACTTTACCCTAATGAGTCAGTAAGTGACAGTGGAAGTAATTATGAACCTTCAATAAATATTATTAAACAAAAAAATTAAACAAAAGACAGTCGAGGCTGTTAAATTAGTTTGTCAAGCAAAACTAAGTTGCAAAACGCTGCCACAGTGTTTTGTCAACTTCACATGGTTGGTATCGAGATTCCTGCACCAACTCAACCAGCAATCTATATGGCAGTCATCAGAAAAGGTAAAAAATTACAAGATAAATTTAGAAAAGAACTAAAGATTGAGAATCGGTGTTTGCATTTTGATGGAAAAAAGATAGCTGGTATGGAACACCAAGTAGTCGTGATAAAGGACAATAAAAATGAACTAATGGTATTGAAGAATGGTATTGCCAATGGTATTGAAGAATGGAAACATTAGCAAGCCAAAAACATTAGCAAGCCAAACATTAGTAAGCCAATGGTATTGAAGAATGGAAAGTCAGAGACAATTTTTTAAGGATTTCAAGAACTTTTGAATAAATATGATTTATGGGGATCTATAAAAATGATTGTGACAGACACTACAAATGTTAACACTGGGAAAACAAGTGGTGTGATAAAGAGATTAATGACACATTTTGAAAGTGTTGGTTTTCAGAAACCTCTCTATTTTGGTTGTATTATATTAGATTGATTAATAAAGTTGTCTGGATGGCTTTTTTGGAGGTAATACTAATTCACCTGAGCTGTCATATTACTTATGGAGGTAATACCAATTCACCTATACTGTCATATCTTATATGTTTTTTAACACATAATATAAGCTTTTAACTAAAAATTATTTTAACAAGAAATGTCAAATAGAATATGAAAAACGCAATACCATTTTTTTATATTTAGAGTTTATTTAAAGCATTATCAAGATTAACCATTTTCTATAAATACACTAGTTGTTTTTAGGAATTTTTTAAAGAAGAAATCTATTTGAACAAAAGAATTCTTCTAAAAAAAGTCTTTTAAAATTCTCTCATTCAATTATTTTAACGATTACAAATTGAAATTAAAAAAAAAAAAGGAAAAATTTTAATGTTCAAAAATTATAAATTTAATAGCAATGACGTTTGTAATACCCAGTGGGATAACAAGGGTCATTCCTAAAAGTTAAACGTATATCTAGCTATGGTAACAATATCAGATTTAGAACATAGCGCAAGTGAGGAAGAAAATTTTATTTAAATTGTAAACATTTTAAATAGAAATTTTTTTTTTGTTTCTTGAAAATAGTTTTAAAGTAGAAAACTTTCAATTGCAAAAAATGAACCAATTTAATTTGTTTTTTTTTAAACGCGTCGTAATATTATTAATTTTATAAAACTTAACTTTATAACACAGCAACACAAACAGTGTAACTTAGTGTGTACAGTGTAGTTGTTTTATATTATCACAAGCTCTTTATATTGTCAAAACTTTGCAGTTTATTTTATCGTTGTTTTATAACTTTTTACAATAACAATTCAATACTCAATAAAAATAACATGTGTTTTATTTTCAGCATAAACGTATTATATAGTTTTGTACATCTAATTAAAGTGGTAAATATTGTAATATTTGCATTTTTACTTTTGCTTTTTAAGGATCATTTTGAGTAAAAACAATTACTAAAAGTAAAATTGTAATAGTATTAAATACTTAACTTGCTCATTACATCGTAACTTGCTCATTACACTATAACTGCAACTTAAACTTTAAACTATAACTTAAGCTGTAAATTATAACAGTAAACTATGCTATTTTAAACTCCGCCAAATGAGAAAATTCTAAGTTAATACTTAAATATGACAGATATTATGTTAAAAATAATAACAATTACGAACAGATGTTGAAAAGCACAACTTTATATGAATGCAAACCCCCCCCCCTCCTTACCGCAGAGTGGCACTTTTAACCCCGCTTCATCCCTGTGAAGGGGGTTAAAAAAACTTTTAACCTCCGTTACAGAGATAAAAGGGTTAAAAGTTTTTATTTTGTGATTAGATTTCTTTGTGTTAATTCGAACACTGATATATATATATACATATATATATATATATATATATATATATATATATATATATATATATATATATATATATATATATATATATATATATATATATATATATATATATATATATATATATATGTCTGTCTTTGTCTGCATGTGTGCATGTGTCTATCCATGTGAGAAAACACTTAGAAATGCTCTAGAATAAATTAACAAATCTGTAGATTGCTGCATAAATTATGAAGATTATTTGGCCTATAACAAAATGGAAAAGACCAGCTTCGACTAAAAAATAAAATGTTAGGTTTTCATTTATTCTTTTGTTTTAATCAAAAAAATTCTCACTATCATGAACACAACATGTCTTGGCAGTTTGGGATCCCTTTAAGCTATAACCATAAGTTCATAATTGAATTAAAAATTTCTCACCATTGCATCACAAGCTATACCAGTAAAAGAAGAGTTTTTAACTTGCTCATATTTTGCACTTGTTGAAGTAGACAAATAAATCAGAACCACAACAAACCAAGCAAATAAAATCAATTGCAAAAACCATGGTATAATAGGAAAAAACAATGTTGATGTCATTGCAGTGAGTGACCTAAAAAAAAATTTTAAAATAACTAATAATGAGAGAAAAACAGAATATATAAAAAAAGATAGTTAAAAAAATCCAGGTAATAAAGAAATAATTTAAAACTGAGAGAAGCAAGATGTATTTTTATTAGAACTGATAGTAAAAAAATATTTTTTTTTAGAAAAGAAAAAAGTCTCATATAAAATCTTTTAGCAAGATTTAACCTCTATTTGTTTATTTTTACTGTTAGATTGATCTGTTACAGTACTCTCTCGCTTAATTGCGCAAATTGAAACAGGCATTGCAGTGCTCAATTAACTAGGAGTGCTAACTAAATTATTAACTATATAAACAAATCTTTCTTAAGAAATATATTATGCATGACGAAAAAAGTCATGAATTGTAGGCTGATATGTATTCTGCAGCTTTTCTCGTTTAATTTTCATAATTTCTGATCATATGTTTGATGATAGTTGTTCGTAGCTATTCATTAATTTACCGTTGTTGTCTTTTAAAATTGCTTTAGCTTTTTGACATTTTAATTGCTCGCCAATATCGATCAGAGATAAATGTATAAATTTAATACCAAAGAAGTCTGTACCATCGTCTATCTCATCATTATTAGCTTCTTCTTCATTAGAATTGTTATCCATAGCAATTGCATTATCATTATTTTCTTCAAGAGACAAACAATCTTCAACATCTTCCTTGATTGCTTCAAAATACATTATAGAATCTTAACAGTCAATTGATTCAAAATTGCTGATATCTTCCAAACTGATCATATTCCTTATTCCTTCAATTTCGTTCAGCAGCAAGAGCATATTAAAAGATGCGAAGTCAGCCTCCTCAGAGCATAGTTTAGTGTTAACGGGACTGGAAATCTGAAATAATTCTGCCTTGTCAAAGCAATTTTTGAGAGATAAAGATTGAATTAATTTCCAAGCCAAATCAACATACTTAGCAGCGTCAAGTTATGCAGGCTTCCCGTATTCAACTTCTGTTGCACCTCTTGCACAAAAGACTACTTTCTTTCAGACATTCCTTTGTATTTACATTGAGGCTGTAATATGAAAATATGTCTGAGAGATATAGATATTTACATTGCTTCTTGAGAGCCGCAATAATCCCCATATCACATGGTTGCTTCCAACTTGTACAATTTGGAGGGAAGAAAACAACTTTTACAAGATTTCGCTCAAACGCCTCAAAATGTCCAAGTGCATTGTCTAATAATAAAAGAACAGGCAAGACTTCAGTGAACCATTTCCAACATATAGAGACATCCATCCATGCATTTTTCTGACAAAAATATGGTATAGGCCATGTTCTACTGACTATTCAAGCAGCTTGTGCATCTTTTCCAATCATAGAACAGGGTATTTTGTGAGATACTGTTGCATTGAAGCAAAGAGCTAAAGTCACTCTTTCTTTAGATTTTTTTTTACCTCTTGTAGTTAATAAGCTTTCAGTAGGCATTAACAGAGAATATCTAGACAGCAAGCAAAAAAAAAGTTGTACATTTTAATAACTGAGTAAAGGTCCTCAAGTTGCTGCAGAAGAACAGGATCATCCTTGTCAACTTCAGCTCCTTCTCCAAAAAGATGCATCGATTCTAAGCCTCAACAACGATGAAAGTTTGCGAGCCATTGCCAAGAAGCTTTAACTTCTTCTTATCTTATATTTAATTTTTGCGCTACTTCTTTTGCTTTTATAATTGCTAATGATGGAGGCACTTCAATCTTCGAACGACACAATGCATCAACCCAAATAAATAGCTCATTTTCTATTGCTTCAAATTTTCCGACGACAATCGAAACGATAATCTTTTTTTCTAGCTTCTTCTGTCATTAGTAAACTTCTTTTTTCTATTTGATCTCGATTATTCCAGAGAGATTGAATTGAATTTTCAGTTACATTATATTCTCTTTCAATCGCTCGTTTGCTTGGCGCATCACTTTTTTTAAGTTCAGTTATAATTTCAACTCGTTGATCTTCTGATAATCTTTTTCCTTTGCTTTTAGCCATTAGAAGTAAGGATAAAAAATTTGGAATAAGAGACCTGTGAATAGACGACTAAATTTAAAATGAAGTTTTTTTATTAAAGTTTTTTTAATGAGACTTGACTGATAAATCGTTAAAACTTATTATTATCTGTTTAAAACAAGATTTATCATTTACTTCGATTCGAATTCGAATTATTTATCTATTTACATTCTGACATTTATGATAAAAACTAGTTTTTAATTTAACACAGGAAAATAATAGTTACATTTTCTGATCTAATTACACTTTCAACAAAAAACTCAGTAAAAAATTGAAACACAAATATTTTGGACCTAAACGCGCAATTAACTGGGATGCGTAACTAATTGGGTGCGCAATTAAGCAAGAGACTAATGTAATTTTTTACTGCTAACTTTACTTATAGACAGCATTAAAAAAATAATAATAAAACAATTTAATATCAAATCATTGTTAAATCTACCGGCTTCCTTCTTTAATAAGTTGAACAGCAATACTTATTCTTTTGCGAAGTGCTAGCAGCAATAGAATTAATACCAGCAACACAAAAGCACAAATGCAACCTAATTTTTGTAATAAACAGGAATATTGAAGTAAAAACAACAATATTATAATATTATCAGAACTAACATTATATTTTCATAATAAACCTACCAATCACCAACCATGTTGACTTCATGTTCTTGTAGCTGGAAAGGTTTGTTGTAAAAACAAAAGTGATTGAGCTTGTGTCATTTGCAGCAAGTCTTTTGTATTCCGTAAAAGAGTAATAAGTAGCTAGAAAATAAGTAGCTAGCTTATAATTTTTTGCTTTAACACAATTTTAAAATATATAAATAATTGTTTTTAAATCTAAAAAAACTTGTTAAAAATTATAAATTACTATTAAGTTAAATTAATAATTAATATTAAAAGATATACTTCACTAAGATACATACCGTATCCAGTAATTGTTAACACAAGATATATTGTCAACCAAACAATCAAGCCAGCAAACCACCTACAAATGATGTTATTAATTTAAAAAATATCTTTTGACCATAATAGATTTTAAAACTAATAATTGGTTACCTCATTATAAAAATATATATTAACGATACAGCCATTGTTATGCCAAATGCTCTAAATAAAATTTAAATTTAAAACATAAAATTTATATTTAATTATTTTGTAATTAAGCCAAGACTAAAATTTTAGTAAAGACCCTACTTATTTAGAAAGTATATATGTAAGTAATATTAGGTGGTTAGAATGAAGTCCATAACAGCAATAGCAATAATAAGTTTAGCAAAGAGAAACGTTGAACAATATAATGGTTCAATAGTAAAATTATGGGGGAAAAAATGTATATAAACACAGTTATGGCCCAAAACTTGATCACCCAATATTTATAGTGAAAAATTGTTTTTTTATTGTATAGAATAGGCATTTGTCACTAGTAAACATTTGAAGTAAAAAAACAACATAATAAAAAATAAAAAAGTTCACAGTAAAAGACATGTTTCAATACTTTTATGAGCTCCTCAAACTTTTAGAACATTTTTACAACATTAAGGAAATAAAAGACTTACAAGATTTTGGTATTATTTTATAACACTACAATTTCATAGCAGTTTTTCTCAGAACTGCTAGCAAGGTTTGATACGCTTGGAAACTTTTGCTTTAAATTTTACACAAAAGTTTCAGATGGCATTTAAATCAGGCTAATTGCCTGGCCAGAGGGCAAATCGCCTGATTTAAACACCAGGGCAAAAACATTATTTGTACTTTATTGGAGCTATGTTTTGATAATTTTTCTCTTAATAGCAAGTTGCCTCATTATGTACGAAAATATAAAAGTTTCTTTTCCTAAAACCAATTAGACGCATTGTTCTTCAAAATTTCTGAATAGAACTCTATATCACCTTGTTGTAAATGGAGTAAACAAGCTTATTTTATTCCATATATATATATATATATATATATATATATATATATATATATATATATATATATATATATATATATATATATATATAATATATATATATATATATATATATATATATATATATATATATATATATATATATATATATATATATATATATATATATATATATATATATATATATATATATATATATATTGAAACAATAAAATGTTAACTTGAGTAGTTAATGATAAATCTCTTAAAAATATAACTTGTAATTTAAAAAAATGATTAAATTAGGCATTATAATGACACCTTTAAATTAACTTAAGATATATAAAATTATTTGATAAAAATTTTAATAAAACTGTATACAAATTAAAAATAAATGTAGTTTTTATTCACAATAAAAATACTTAGTAGCCCAGTTGTAAAAAACTGTTTCGACTCCTCCATGTCATAATTAAAGAAAATGGTATAATAGAAATCTGTCCAAACCACACAAGTATGAAAAAAATTTGAATTATATTACTATGATTTAAAAAAAAAGGATTTTTTTTATGCAAGTGAAATTTCATACCCCTTATTATATTACACACATTTACACCCTTGTATATTACAAATATTATTACACCTAGAATAATACAAATATATTTACACATTAGTATTTACACATATATTTACATGATTATAAAAATAAAATTAATTACATACGCTAATATCCAGTACCAAGATATTTGAATATCAGAGATTACCTAAAAAAAATTACAGTTTTAAAACCTGAATTAAAAAAACATCTCAGCTTGCTGCTTGGCAATACTTATTTACATACTGCTTAACCACAAAAGTAAACAGATTCTAAAGATATCTTCAACAAAAAAAAACAACAGATTCTTAAGATATCTTTATCAAAAGAATACACAGATTTTCAAGATATCTTTATTAAATCATTAAAAACCTTTCTCAGGCTTTGAAAATGTAACAAAAACATTATTTGGAACTCTTGATTTCAAACCTCACCTCAATTTTCTTCCAAGAAACTTGTCTTTTAGTTACAGCAAAATGTAACTTAAGTGACTCATTGTTTTACAAATAATAAAGTCTTTCTTTATAATTGCACTTATGTTAGGTTTCAATCTTATGAACTAGAACAACTATCAAATCACAAAGTCCTAATAAATACCTCAAATATCTCAAAAAAAATTGCCTAATTTTTGTGTTTTGTTGCTGTAATTTGATAATTGAATGACAGAGGCAAGTTCAGTGTGGCTTAATACTAATAAATCCCAAATAAGATGTTTAAACCTGTGGACCAAATAAGATGTTTTACCTGTGGACCTGATAAAATATATGCACTCAACATGGCTTTACTGATGCTTGGACTTATTTGAACTCAGTTTGGCTTCATTGATGCAGCACTCAATGTGGCTTCACTGATGCACTTATATCCTAGATGCTGGAAACTTAACTCATCTTTATTTATGGGTTTGAAAAAGCTTTCCATAAAACTGAAATTAATGTGCAGAGCTGGCCTGATCAAATGTTTAATGTTGCAGATGCCAAAAATAAATTCTTCTCTTGAAGACCATTCTCTGCATTTCCAGTGGTTGCCATTATCTCTGCTACCCTAAAGGCTTAGGAAAAAAATTATTTTGTATACCCCAGTATTCCTAAAAGAACTTTCAAGATGCTGCAAACCATCCACTTGTGCTGTGAGTATTGGATGGTCTTCAAATCTCTGTGCTGTGAGTATTCGATGATCTTCAATATGCTGTTAAAAGCATAATCAGTGTATATGCACTTTTATTGAAACTGAGAAAATGAAGTTTTTTTTTAAAGAGTCTTTCAAACAAAATTTTAGGCACTATAATTAAAAAAATAGTTTAAAAATATTTTCAACCTTTTTTATCTCTAATTGTTTATAAAATATGGATAACACTAGGTGTATTAAAAGTAAGGCATAAAAGGTGTATGTGTGAATATTTATGTTTATCTATGTAAAAATATAAAATTTAATTTAACATGTGTTTGCAATGTTTCAGTCAAAGTAACAATATTTTATTGAACTTATTTATTATATTCATAAAATATTTTTTTATACAAAACAAAAACACAATTGTCACATTCTTCTAAATAATTAAAACAAAACAAAAACACAATTGTCACATTCTTCTAAATAATTAAAGATTTTTTAAATTAATTGAGAACTTTTAAATTTTTCAAAAATTAGTTAATTTTTTTTTAGGAAATAATTTACCTAATTTTTTTATTATAGTAGATTTTCTGTTGCCTTCAATACCAACAGCTTGCATGATTTGCTCCTGTCATCAGTTCCTCAAAAAATCCAATTTTTTGCATCTAGAAAGCTTTATAGATTTCAACTCTTCTGTTTTCAAAATACACAAGTTTCAAAATACTGCAAAATCTTGTACATGGAAATTTTAGAGAATGATTTTTAATTTTTTTTTGTTTACATCTAGTTGCTTATTTATTAATTAATTTGGATTTCTACTAAAGATTTTTCCAATTGTACTTTCAGATGGTTCCTTTAGATAAACATTATTTTGTTTGGTTCATTCAGGCAAAAGATTATCATTTACTACAATTCTTTCATGGAAACCATACATACAATGGAAACCATATGCTAAGGTTGCTTTTCTCCAGAAGGTGCCATTTTCTCCAGATTTTATTCTCTACCTCTACAAATCTCTTATTTGTATGGAATACTGTTGTCATATTAGGGCTGGTTCTTCTAAAGATACCATTTCTCTTCTAGACAAGGTCCAAAAACACATTGGACCTGCTTAATCTGCCAAGCTTGTGCCACTATACCATTGTCATAAGGTTACATCTCTTTCTCTTTTCTACAAGTACTAAGTTTATAACTGCTGTTCAAAGGAGCTATCATCTCTAATTTCCTTAACCAAAACTCATTCTCACTTGAATTGTTGTTCACCAAAGTTGCATCCATTTAGTGAATCTGTCCCTTCATGCGCTAAATACTATTATTCATCTAGTACCTTCAATAGTCAAAACTACATAATGTTTAGCAATTAAAATAAGGAATTATTACAAACGCTTTAGTGAAAAAATTGTTCACATAATAAAGTATCTATGTAAATATCAAAGCTCAATTCATATACACTGATTATGCTCATGACAACTGAGCAGCTATTACATACTCTTTTGTGTCTCCTTCATTCTAACAACATGTGCAATTGAAACAGTTGAAAATTGATAAAAAAAAAAGTGCGACATTATAGGTACTGAATATTAAGCTCACCAAATAAATCTTCGTAACACCATTGTAGTAGCAAATGAAAACCACTTAATGTAAAGGCAAAGACCAGATGATGATTCACCAGTAGGGCTAGGCTCATAAATTTCAATCTTCTCAGATTTGCTTTAATCAATCAGAGAGCCATTCCATCTGACAATCTATCTCCATAAAGCACTGGCTCTATTGCTGACAAACAATCTAGATATTTAATGTTTTTTCTAGTCTTCATTAAATGATCAAAGTAAACGCAACCAAAGTAATCAACATGATTTTTCTGTTCATGTTTCACCATGGGTACAGTAAATGGTTTTCCATTAAACCATTGAATGAGAGAGGTGTTACATTCTGTTACTTGTTTTAATCACCCACATTGCAAATATAATATGCAACTTGGTATGCAACTTCCAGCTTACTATACATTGTCTTGCGCATCAAAGTAATCATTAATTAACCACTAATGTAGCAAAAACTAAAGCTTGCATATGATCAAATAAGTATTAGCCGAAAAAATAAGATTAAATTTGAAAATAACAACCTCAAATTACACTAAAACATTTTAGTTCTAGCAGCAAAAATTTGTTGCAAAATGGTTATAGGTGTTGTTTGTTGAGTGCAATAGATAGAAAGATTCTTTGCATTTGTTCTGCTTGAATGAAATTTACTTGTATGAGTTTTAAATTTAAAAAAAGCTCATACATTATAAATGCACTTAAATTATCTTTAATTTTCAATATTCATTATTTCTTCAAAAATAATTTGAAGAAAAAATTTTTTTTTACTGAAAACTAAACTTATTTAAACTTTTTTTATAATTAAGAATGTCTGAAATAAAAAATTAATTTAAAACTAAAAAACTGTTTAAATTACATTTTTAATAGTAACATCTAACTATTTTTAGTACAGTGGGTTATCATTTGCATGTAATTTCTATTTCATTTATACCTTGTTGTAAACAAAGAAGATATCTTTAATTAAAGGATTTTTTTTATTTTGCAACTACAACTTTGAATTGCACTGAATGCGATTTATATTCTCAATTAAAAGAAGCACAAATAAAATTTATATTCTTGTTTACACTCTATAGTAGTTACTGAGAATCACCTTTTAGTACTTACTGGCACAACAATTTACTATATTAATTGCAACTCTCTTTAAAAAAGTACTAACCCTGTGTCCAATGTTTTGCAAATTTAAAAGGATACTTTGAGCTCTAAATCAAAATATGATAACTAAATTAAAAACATTTTTAATTTTATTTTAATTATTCCCACTTAACTGGGATTCTAATTACTATAGTTTCAATAGCTTGTTATTATTTAGTATGAATTTTTTTTTGTATACTTTATATACACACACATATATAAAGTATACAAGAAAAAATTAATACTAAATAATGACAAGCTATTGAAACCAAAATAATTAGAATCCCAGGTGAATGGGAATAATTAAAATAAAATTAAAAATGTTTTCAACTAACATTGTTCCCCATTTCAAATTCTCTTCATTTAATGGTTTGCCATTGGACGATGTAATATTTTGATTTGTTTTTGTCGACTGTGAGGATAAAAACTCAGTAAGTGTGTTTCCAACCACAGTGGGGATGCATCTGTAAGCCACTTAAAAAAAAAAAAAAAAAAACTTTATTTCAATTTATTATTATTATATTATTCAACAACTATGTTATGATATATATAGGACAACTTCCAAGTTCAATCCCCACCACGCCCCTATTACTGCGCTCAACATGTTTCTCCGCGCAGCAGCCTTGTTTGTCAAATGTCGTACTTTGGAGTTTAAATTAAAAAAAAACAATTAAAAGTAGCCTCCTAGACTGTAATGGCCTTTGGGAGGGGAATTAACATTTATAACAAAAAAAACAACAACAACAACAACACCAACAACAACAAAAACAAAAAACTTACATGCTTCACTTTGTAAAGTGTACTTTGCACATGAACCTTCATTTACTAACTGACTAATTGATTTTGACTAATAGAGAAAAATTGATTTTGACTAATAGAGAACGAGATTTAAATCAAAAAACAATTTCATTTTCAAGATTTTAACTTCTTGTAGTATCTAAGTTATTAGAAAATAAGCTTGGTTCATAACAACAAAATAGTTACCTGGTTAGTAATAACTTTAAAATATTTAATAAAATATGTTATAATATATAAATATATACAATATATATATTTATATATTACAAAATATTTTGTTATAAAATACTCAATACAATATATAATATATGCATATTATACATATATATAATATATTGTATTGAGTATTTTGTAAAAAAGTTTAATTACCGTTGTATTTAAATTTACTTCATACTGACAGTACAAATTACTTTTATCAGCTGTAAGATAAAAAGTGTTTTGTGATGGGCAGTCTTTCACACAAATCTAAATAATTCATATAATAATAATTAATATGATAACAATCCAAAGTGTTTGATAATGAATATAGCAATAAATTTAATCTAATTCCATCTTAAACATATGAAAAAAACATTTCTTCAAACCTGAGTTGTTTTACAAGATGTGATGGAGTAAATATCAGATAATGAACTTGGAATGCACTCAAGCAGATCAAAGTAAAATAAATTTTTACGATCACTAAGTAAAAAATGTTAATATTATCAACTTTTGAAACTTAGTCAAAATTCACTTTTTCTGAAATCCACAAATAAAAAACTAAAATTTTAAATGTTAATTTTTACTTGTTTTATATTATTAGGTAATCTTTCATATTTATATATAGCAGAAAAATAAAAAGAATGACTAACAGTATGTATAATAAAATGTATTTCTTATTTGAGTGTTTCATTCAGCTTTTTGAAAATGATTACACTACTTGCATAAAAAATGTAAATATTAGGTAAGAAACAAATCTGCAATTTTTTTTTAAATTTAAAATTTTATCTTGAGGTTGCCATCTTGAAAAATCTTTGAAATTTAAATAACTGAAATTTAAATAAATTAAATTGAAATTTAAATAACTTAAAAAATAATTAATTTTATGTTGTTACTTGATGTACTTATTAAAATTATAAGAAGCACATCGAACCAAATTTTTTAAAAAATCACTAATGTCTAGAGGTTGCCAAATTTAAAAGTACAATACAAAAAGATTTTTTTTAATATCATAATTACCAAATATGTAGTTAAAATCAGGTTAAAATTTGACTTTTAAAAATTATATTGCTATAAATTATTAATTTGTTTTAGTTTCAAAATAGATGGATTTTGCTTTCTGCATTGTTCACAACTTGCAAAAGAAATTGACAAATCATTCTTTATTTTGTGCATATTTACAGAAATCACCAATAAGCTTGATTCCTCTTTCAGAGCAGATCATAATTTGTTCATCAGTAGTAGATCATAATTTGTTCATCATTGAACATGATGAACTTATCAGATAATATATATGTGGTAGTGGTGTAGTGGTAGAGCGCTGGCCTCATAAGCAAGAAGTTCCAATATCGATCCCCACCATGTCTCTGGTAGTACCCCACTCAAATTGTTTCTCCGCACAGCAGCTTTGGTTGTCAAGGTTTATGTTTTAGAGTTAAGAATTGAGAGAGGGTTTAAAAAAAAAGGTTAGAGTTGAATGGGACATAAATCTCACATTGCGAATAGCACCTGATTTGTAAATTTTGAATAACCACTAATAGTTGTTTTTGAAGTTAACTCTATTAACTTTCAAGTTAAAAAAGTTACCTAAAATGGTAGTCTTCCTGTGGAATTGTTGTTTCGTTGAAGCATTGGTAAACACATTTAAGAATTAAATTGATTGCTTGATTGAATATTTTAAGTTTGATGTCAGTAAACCACTCAAAAAAATTAATGAATTAATATTGAGTAACCAATATGAATTGTTGCAAAATTCAGCATGGAGTTTTTCAAAAAAAGGCTCCTTTGGAATCTTGCTAACTCCTTGTAATGTGGTAGAAATACGTTTGATGTGTAGCTCCTTATGATGATGGCAACATGCTAGTCATATAAGAGTAAAAATGCATTACTTAATATTTCAGAATTTTAACTTATTTTAAGGTCATTTTTTAACATTTCAACTTTACTTATTGATAAAATATCTTTTTTACATACAATGCAACAACTTCCTTTAAAGCATTGAAACTTGTAGGAACGAATTTATAGGTAAAAATATAACAAAAAGTAAAACTTTTTGCCATTTTTAGTATAAACAGCAACCTTTAAACAATAAGCAATTTTTCTAAAAATTTGAGCAAATGATCAAATAACTTTTAATGTATACTTTAAGTAACATAATATAAAAATTTGAACAAATGATCAAATAACTTTTAATGTATACTTTAAGTAACATAATATAAAAATTTGAACAAATGATCAAATAACTTTTAATGTATACTTTAAGTAACATAATATAAAAATTTGAGCAAATGATCAAATAATTTTAATGTATACTTCAAGTAACATAATATAAAAATTTGAACAAATGATCAAATAACTTTTAATGTATACTTCAAGTAACATAATATAAAAATTTGAACAAACGATCAAATAACTTTTAATGTATACTTAAAAGTAACATAATATAAAATATCTTTTAAGTAATCCAACTCAAATTAAAAAAAAATACTTTTCCTCAAAATAGCAACCTTTAGAGGTAATTTAAAATTTTAAAAAAAATAACAGATTTTTTTTTTTCCTAATATCTACTTTGTTATGCAAATAAAGTAATCATTTTTAAAAAGTTGTTTAGAATGTAACACCCTTAAGACCTCATTACAAAACATAGTATTAGTAAGAACAGTTACACAAAAATAAATTTTTGTGTATGTTAAGCATCACATCTGTAGCAAATAATAATGTTAAAATACTAAAGAATGAGTAAATGATAAAGCAAATTAATTAGGACAGCATTTTCATTTTGTTTCATTAGACTTTTACAAATAACATTTGTTTGATGTGTTTTTTAAAGCTATTTTTAAAACAGTTCATGCATTGCTGCATAATGAAATAGAGAATGGGAGGATGAAAGCATCTTTTTTGTTGAAGAAATGATATTGGTGACCACAGTTCTTTGTAATTTCTTTATTGCATAGTAGGAGGAACTCATATAAGGTCTTCATACAAAACAACTTTATTTTCAACTTGATTCTGCAATTAACACAGTTAGTTGATATATATATATATATGTTTTTTTAAGGAAGAAAAGAGTGGAATAAGATATATACCTAATAAAAATCTAAAAAGATCAAAGATACAATAGTTGAAGATAAAAAAAAATTAATTTGAAAACTAAATTATGATTACAAAAAATTAAATTATGATAAAATCAGGAATATTTGCAAAAAACAGTAAAGGACAAAAAGAAAAAAAAGGACAAAAAAATTCAAAAAATAAAAATAATATCTTCTATAAAATGAGTTAAGCTTTTAAAGACTAAATTAAAAAACAACAAAAATAAATTTTGTATAATAAAAATTTTGTATAATAAAAATTAACCTACGCAAAAGTTCCCACTCCACAAAGGTTTCCTAAAATATTTTTTAAATTATAAATTTAAAAAAAAAAAAAAAATTTTAAATAATTTGACAATTCATTACAATTAAAACGTTTCAAAACATTAAAAATGTCTCAAAAAAAAAAAGCCTTATAAAATGATACTTTTTTCAACAAGGTATTTATTAATAATAACTAAATGATATTTTTTCGGTAGTAAAGAATCATTATTCTCTTAATTAACCTTCTTTTTAACAAAAAGAATGATTGTCACCATCTATAAACAGCAACATCACTATGTTAAAAAATAAATATAATATTATCACTAATGACAGATGCATGAATAAGGTAATGACAGAAGTAATGACAGTGGTATAACAGAGGTAATGACAGTGGCATAACAAATGTAATGACAGAATATGACGAATATAATGACAGTAATATGACTGAAGTAACTAATCAAATAGAAATAAAAACAAGGTAGATAGTTTGTTTTGAAAAACTGTTGATTTTAATAAGAATAAAAAGGTTTCTCTGCAGTGAACAAGGTTAGTGAAACAAATAAAGTGAAATCAAGTATTCTGAGGGCTCTGTTAAATAAGGCTGTTGGTCCTTTTGACGCATTAGCTAAGATGTTAAAAAGATTGATGCTTAAGACTTATAAAGGAGGTTAAGGCACATTAAATAGCAGTACATAATAAGGAATAAAATTGCTGGAAAAAATAAGCAACATTTATCATTATTATGTAAATTATTTTTAGATAAGACATGAAAAAACAGATGCAATATTTATAACAAATTAAAAAAAGAAAAAGAAAAAAGATGTTTGTATGGCATTTATGGAACTTGAAAGAGCTTTTTGACAGAGTACCAAGAGAGCTAGAGTGGATGTGACAGAATACCAAGACAGCTAGAGTGGATGTGGATTTGAAGTATTTAGGTTTTAAAGAATAACAGTTACTAAGGGTATGTGTGAAAATGTTACAACAGCAATAAAAAGAATAGAATGAAAAAGTTATAGCTTTAAATTAAAGGTTGATTCATTACAACAAACTTTCTATATTAAAATAACTAGATTAAAGTTGTAATAAAAATAAATTTAAAGACTAAAATATATTTTCAAAATTTTTTCAAAAACAAAGACAATAATTGTAATAACCTTAGAAAAGTTTTTTTTAAAGGTTTTTAGAAAAAAAAACTGTAGTTTAATTTAGTTTAACTTTATCTTCTTCAGTGTAATAAAAACTGTTGTTTTGAGTGAAACTGGTGTTTTTACAAACAACATGTTTATCTAATTTTTAATGATTTAATATGAACTTTAATGACTGTTTTGATATTGTTTGCATTAAAACCCTTTTTCTACTTTTTATATAGCATACATATTTTTTTACAACAAATATTTTAAGGTAATCCAATTAATCAAGTATGCTTAAAATAAAAAAGAAATTAAAGAAATTTTGGATAATAATACTATTACATGAAAACAAGAAAGCTGTCAATATATGAAACAAACTAATGGTTGACATATTATACACACTTTAGCATGTGGATTTGTAAAAACTCAAGAGTTGTTAAATCTTTTTTGTGTGTAACAAAATAACTGATTAAGACAAAACTGTTGTATCACTCGCAAGCGGTAAGCAGAAGTTCTGTATCAATCAAAGTAACCAATAGGGTACCGTTTTGGTGACGTCAAACTGTTTGTTTGTCCCAATATCAATCCCACAACCACTAGTGTTTTTAAGAAATTCTTTTGTTTCTGTGCAATGTTTGTCCGCATTTTGATCCCAGAAAGCTTTGCAAAAATCTATTTTTAGAACCGCAATGGTACCCTATTGAGACAAAACTATTAAAAATAAAACATGATAAATAGCAATATGGCGATATACAAATATTTATTATGTTTTAAATTTCATTAAAATTAAAAATTAAAACAATGAAGCCTTGTTACCAGTTGTAACTAATTTAAAAGGAAACATAACTTTAAAAAGTTATAAGGGAATGAATAAACTTTTTGACAAGACACATTTTTTAACCATTAAAGAAAAGCTTATTTTTGATATATGCACATATTTATTGCACTTTGGTTGGATAGTATACATCAAAAAAAAAAAGTTCTTTCATATGAAATGAGAACATTTAAATAACAGCAATGAGCAACTTTAAATTTCGACATGCAACCAGCATTAGCTAAATCGTTACTTTCAGTCAACCAACATTAGCTAAATCATTACTTTCAACCCAAAAGACCTTTTTTATCAAAATAAGAATCTAACTAAAATTTAATAAAAACAAAATGACCAAAAATTACCTCGACTGTCAGTAGGATACAATAGTTTTGTAGGACTTCCCCACGAAAAAGCTATAAAATTAAACAACTTATATTGAACTTAACATAAAAAATATGTTATAAAAATGCTTTTCTTTTATAAAGTTTACAATTATATAACTTTAATACTATAAATAAAAAACTGTTGGTCATTTTTTATGTGTCATTTATTTTTTAGTCCATTTTTTAAAGCATTGAAAACATAAAAATCTTCTTACAATTTTTTTATATTCTTACCAAGAAATCCAACTATAAGCATTCCAACAATGTACAAAACAAATATCAAACAGCAAATGATATCAGTGCAGCTCCTAAAATTTACAACTTTTCTTTAAATACCTTATATATATTAATGTTGATGTGTACATTTGTATAACAGTTTATTATGGCCAGAAAAGTAAGTAACTGGGACCCTAGCCATGGCTAAAGATGGGATTTTCTACACTCAGCTTAGTAATAAGCATAACAGGAAATGTTAGATGAGGTTACTATGTAATGTATAATATATTAT